CCGATTCATCTATATCTTTCTTTGAACTCTAGCAAAATCGACCCAAGCTATCGCCCTCAAATCCAACGCTTGAGGAGGAGCTGCTCAAGTCGAAATTGATTATCAAAAATAAGCAGCCGCTGCCACAGCTGCCGGGGGAGTTGGGGGTGCCGAATGCGCAGGATACGATTGCGAGCACCCATTCGGCCAGCTCCACACAGCACAGCAATAAGTCGGCCCGCTCCACCACCAACATCAATGAGCTGCAGAACTTCGAGTCTATCTCGCAGTGCACCAAGTCCACGTCGACGCAACGTGGCCATGAGAGCAGCACGGTGACGCCCAGCAGCTGCTGCTATTCGGAGAGCAGCCTGGACGCCAAGATAAGCAAGAGCCATGACTGCCTCAGCAATCGGTCATCGTCCAAGAAGAGGGTCAACATACGCACCGCAGATCTTCCCGTGACGGCACGGAATCAACGCTCATCGCCGGATATAGCCAACTATGAGGATCTGGAGTCGGGGGAGACCAGTGTGCTGAACACCTATGACCATAGCCTGGAGCGGTATCAGGCGCGCAAGGCGGCAGGCGAGGGCGGCAACTATCTGACCATGACAGGCACCATCAAGCGAGGCCGGAAGAAGGGTCAGTCCATCGATCTGCAGATTAACATAAGTCGCGAGGAGCTGGAGCAGCTGAATGCCCATGCCATGGCCAATGAGTCACAGAAGGGTCGCAGTCTCTGCTGCACCTGCAGCTGCGCCATCGGCCTGCACATCTTTCTGATCTCGCTGCTGTGCCTGCCGTTTGTGACGATCATCTCGGCGGTGTACTCCTTCTACATTGGCACCCTCACCTGGTACAACATGTTCAACTACTACTGTGAGGAGAAGTCGTATCTGCACAAGATCTTCGTCACACCGCTGCTCTTTCTGGCCTATCCGCTGGCCATTGTACTCTGCACCTTTGGGCTGGGCCTCTACTCGGGCTTCCGGCAATTGAGTCTGCAGTACAGCAGCTGGGTCAACGACATCACGGACATTGAGAAGGGCTTCTACGGGTGGCTGTGCGGCTTCCTGCACATGCCCGACTGTAGCCCTTACGAGGTGGTCATACTGACCGACATTTGTGTGGCGCCGCAGGATCCACAGCGTCTGCACATAAACAAGCCACGCCAGGAGTTATCCATGTAGAGGGGGAATCGTCGAAAAATGTGTGCCAGAAATCGATTTAATTTATAGGATTTACTGGACTACGCAACCGGCGATTTTCAATTTTTCGACCATGAGTGTGATATAAAAAAAAAACGTAATTACTTTTTGCAGTGAAAAAATGATATATGATGTATGTATCTCTGAAGTCTACTTGTACGACACAAACTTATGTTTCCTTTGGCCAAATTTGTTCCTTTTACTTACAACTATATGTATGCAATTGCAGCTTTAGAGAACAGGAATATATAGGTATATATACACCACATACCCCCATAGATATCAAAGTAACACAAAACATAATCCAAGCCCTATAGAGACTAGCATTTAAGTTAACTAGAAACAGAAACATCTAACACTCGCACAGAAACAACAAACTCTCAAGTTTTCATCGGTGGAAAATATAACCTTGCAAATCCAACAAATCCATAATATATCCATAATGTACCGTAGACTATATGTAATTGTTTTATGAATGAATTGCTCAAAAAAAGGGTTAGTGTCATTCTGAACAGTTGTTAATTGATTTACAACATTTACTAACACTAACAACAACTACTATTATCTCGTGTTTAACGAATTGTAAACTAATTTTTCACACCCCACAATTACAAAGCATCGCTTTTTCGAATTAACTTACTATTTTTAGTACAAACAAAAACTATAATTACAGAGTCGATATATTATCTTAATAATGTTAAAGAAAGTTTATCTTTTGGTAGTACATACAAGGATTCCATCCATCCAAATCTATTTCGGAAAATTTGCAAGGTTATAGCCGATCGAAATGGTTAACTGTTGTGGCACTAGCCATGCAACAAAAAAAATACAGCATTTCTTTACTTTCCCAGTCAAAGCAAAATCGTAAAACAAATGCAAATATTTATCAACTTTCTAATTGCATTTACAGAATTATGCATTTACATTTAAAAAACTAAAACCTCCAAATAACAGCAAGAAATTAACTGCGCAGTTGAGGTGATGGAAGATTTTTCTTAGTTTTAAGCAAGCATTTTTTATTTCTACATACAAAAACAAGAAAGACAAGAAACAAAAAATACAAATGAATATAAACGCCACACGTATACACGCATAAATATACATATAAGTAAACGTTTTTAAAATAGAAATTCTGTATGTTAAGTAAAAACCAGAACCCGAATATCAAACACTTATTAGCCCCCCCTGCCCCACTGGAGAAATAATGCCAATAAAAACTATTTAGCAAGCCAAACCCAATAACCCCAGAAGTTCTTATTGCAGTCGCATAGTGCAACAATATATTTGCATAATTATCGTTATATTATATACTTACTATTTCAATTCAATTAATTCAACAGAAAAAAAACGAATCAATCAAACGATACCAGAAGAGAAACGCAACAATTGAAAAGAGAGGAATGACGCAAACCGTAGCTTTGATACCCTTGCATATGCCTCGTTTGTATGGTATATATGGTATGTGATTATACTTATATACACTTATATGTGATGTTTTTGTTTGTTTTTGCCATGTTGTAAAGTAGTGCATAAGACAAGTCATTATAAACATCATAGGCTTGCATTTTCCACATTTCGACTGTTTTAAACTTTCTCTTTTTAAACATCTTATCGAAATAAGCAAACTCTTCTTAAGTGTAGCAAAAACTGTGAACCTGAGAATGAGCGAATGTCACTTGTGTTAGCCGGCATCACATAGCCACCCCCGCTCACGCATAGAATGATATGCAATATACGGTAAATAAAAGACAGCTGTCTCTCAGGTTTCGTCAAGTAAATGCATGGGAGAGAGAATAGAGAGTAAAGTGAAGCAACTACAGTTGACTGCCGATATAACACACGGAAAGAGGGCTCGACTGTGGCTCGAAGATACATCTACGCAACTAGTAGTACAGAACTACATGAAAATATATTCCTTAATAGGCATAAAAACACACACACCTTTGTGGTCTAGTTCGTATTAAAAGACCTTATAGGGGATTTTACCTGTAGTCTGGCTAACCAACACACGCTTGTTCAAATATGTGCGTGCATGTCTGCAAAAACAGTCACGTACAGACAAAGAGAGATTCAAAATACTTTAAAATGATTCAATGCAACTTTTCAGAAAGTTTTCGAAATTCGAATACGGATATTTTAGACTTGTCTGTATTCCCTTCCCACTGGCATATTTAAACACTAATCATCATACAGATGATTTTCAAAAAATTATTTGTCAACTGCTGCTATTTGCATGTTCACAGGTGTAGAGCCACCAAGCTAATTGCCGTTTTGAGCACAACGCCGTCGCCAGGGGAGCAACACGTAAAATGTCTGGGAATACCGCATTCGATTCTCAATTCCAAATCGGCGTCCACAGAGTGCGGTCGTACGGGAAAAGGCAACAAGGAAAACATGGCAACGGATAACTTGACTGCTGTTCTTCATGGCATTGAAGATTTGCGTTTGGTAAGCGGAATTTCAGCGGAACTGTAAACTCGTGGGTTATTGACTTTTGTTCCCCATCCTACAGGAACAACGCCCCATTCCAGAAATAGCCAACGATGGTAAGCAAATATTTAGCTTGAAAATGGCCAATTCATTAGCAAATCATTTTCTATGTTACCCCCAGAGGTGCTACTGGCCATGGATAGTGTTGGCATTTGCGGATCGGATGTCCACTATCTCACTGCTGGACGCATTGGCGACTTTGTGGTGACCAAGCCCATGATCATTGGACACGAGGCTGCCGGTGTGGTGGCCAAGGTGGGCAAGTGCGTAAAGAATTTGGCTGTGGGCGATCGCGTGGCCATTGAGCCGGGTGTACCCTGCCGACGCTGCGATCACTGCAAGCAGGGCAAGTACAATCTCTGCGCCGACATGGTGTTCTGTGCCACGCCCCCATACGATGGCAACCTCACGCGCTTCTACAAGCATGCGGCGGACTTTTGCTACAAGCTGCCGGATCATGTCAGCATGGAGGAGGGAGCACTCTTGGAGCCCCTCTCAGTCGGTGTTCACGCCTGTCGCCGTGCCGAGGTTGGCCTGGGCTCAAAAGTGCTCATCCTAGGCGCTGGACCCATCGGTCTGGTTACGCTTCTGGTAAGAAAAACTAATAATTGCATCTGGGGATTTCCTATTTAACATTTCTCTCTCACGTAGGCTGCTCAAGCCATGGGAGCTGCAGAGATTTTGATCACGGATTTAGTGCAGCATCGTCTGGATGTGGCCAAGGAGCTGGGCGCCACACACACCCTGCTGCTGGACAGGGAACAGAGTGCCGAAGAGACGGTCAAAAGAGTCCTTTGTACCATGAGCGAGGCACCTGACAAGGCCGTTGACTGCTGTGGCGCCGAGAGCAGTGCCCGTCTGGCAATCTTCGTAACTGTCAATGAAAGTGTTTGTTGTAAACGGAACTGACTATCTTTTTCCAGGCTACACGTTCCGGCGGTGTTGTCGTTATTGTGGGCATGGGAGCACCAGAGATAAAGCTACCTTTGATAAATGCCCTGGCACGTGAGGTTGACATACGTGGAGTCTTTCGCTACTGCAACGAGTGAGTGTGTTAGCCAGACATCGTACGAGCATTATAAATTTAGTTGTATTATGCTCTTACAGCTATCCGGCTGCTCTGGCTCTGGTGGCATCGGGTAAAGTGAATGTCAAGCGTCTGGTAACGCATCATTTTGACATCACGGAGACGGCAAAGGCCTTTGAGACCTCTCGCTACGGCCATGGTGGGGCCATAAAAGTCATGATACACGTCCAGCCCAGAGATGCCAACAATTCAGTTAAATTTTGAACCTACTAAATTCTAAAATAAACGTAGACTTTATGGGTATGGTAATCCGTGCAAATACTTTAATTTCTTTCAGCAAAAAGACATTCAATGTAGGGCAATGCCTTCTCGGCCGCCGTGGATTCGCCATTGGCATTATAGTCGATCAATTCTGGATGCCTGTTCTGGGCAATGTAGCGCAGATATTCACGTGTACTATGCAGTCTCGGGCCCACCTTAAAGTCCCAGCCATTCCGACGTGGAGTGCTGAATATTGTGGCCCCATGACAGGTTACCATCTTCGACATCTTATTGAATACCACGCCCAAATGGTTGTGTGCCTTATTGATGATCACCACATGGACATTTTCGTTGGCCAGCAGCCGTGCCAATTTGCGCAGCATTTTCAACTGAGTGGGCCACTGGTAGCAGGCAGGATCGTACACCATTACGAAGCAATCCCCATCCATGCCATCTTCCAAATCAAAATAATTCTGAGGAGGTGAATCCAAGTTGATTGTGGGCATTAGAACAACTGCCTGGAACAGCTGATTCTGCAGCAGCTTCTGACAAAATGTCTTCAAATGCCTGTAGTTTACCAACGTGTTCATCTGATAGACGTGATGCTGTTTATCCTCACCGAAGATAAGAGGCGGCACACCCGGACGGTAGCTGCCAAAGTCATCCGGATTCAGATTGTCATTCAAATGGCCGATGCTGCTGATGTCCCGCATGCCGAACACGATCCGACCGTAAAACTCCTGGGCTAGTTTTCCCATTAACTTGATCCACTTCTCGAGACCATCTCTGTGGTGGTTTTTAAAGAAATGAAATGCTATAATACGTGGCGGATTCAAGTTGAGTGTTGCCCCTTTGGAGTTCGCTACCGGCAGCCATATCAGCCACGTATCGGAATTGTTGTCGATGGCGCAGGTCTCGACAAGTGCAGGTGGTACAGCCATCTGTTGATACTTTTCATCTGATACAGGTACAAGAAACACAGATCGTTTATATTGCTTGAATTTCAAAACAGAAAAAGCTTCTGCTCAAGCTTTCCAGCTGTTTTTCCATCCATCACTATAGCGGGCTATCGATAAATCGTAATTTGAAATTCAAAATAAATAACGACCGTCCACGAGTGGCTTTATCTTTCCAAAAGTTAATTGATACAAATTGCGTGACGCGTTTTAATTTATTATTGGTGTCCCTGAATATTAAAATGTGATAAAAGATAATTAAATAACAATGCGCACAAAAACTTGGAAACTTTGTTGAGTCAACTAAAAACTATAAATAATATTTTTGTCTATAACTGGTGGTGCGCTGCTTTGTGTATTTTTGTGACTGCCCCCTTTTGCCTACGTCTAGTTGATGTGTATGATTAGAATAAAAGGATAAAAACCCGCACGCAGAATCGAAAACTAATCAACAGCTAAACTCTATGCTTAATATTATTTACACGGTATGGGTAAATGTATATATAAAAATAGAAAAAATACACTTTATGTGCCCAGAATGGGTAGAACCATTAACCCCAGTTGGCTGCCATTAACACTTAGAATCGCACCTGCTTGAGCTTGTCGTAAATGCTAAAATACAAGGCCGTCGTCAGGCTTGACTTCAGCAGAGTGGGGGCCACGCCCTTGTACAGTCCACGAACGCCCTCCTGCCGCACGGTCAGCCGCAGGCAATCCCAAACGCCGTGGCACTGCAGCGTCTGGCCAAACGTCTGCCGATTCGACTCAAAGCCCTGTATCTGCAGTCGTTTCTTGATCAAATCGAAAGGATACACAATCGTCTTGGACAGCATGCCTGAGGAGGCGCCCAGCGCTAGCAGTGTCCAGGTGGGCAGCTTGCTGCGATCCCCCACCTCGAAGAAGGCGCACGCCCAGTCGCTGAACAGTCGATAGGCCATAAAGTTGGTGCCCATCAGCGGTGCAATCTGTAGCAGGGCCGACGAGAGTCCGCGGTACATGCCGCGTGGTCCCTCCTGCTGCACAATGGCGGAAACGGCGCGCGTTGCATTCCTATAGCCCTTGCTGGTGTCCTGGGCAATCAGACGCGTTCGTATCACATCCAGCGGCGTGGAGATGATAACCGCAGCACCGCCCGCTGCGGCACCGCACAGGAAATTCGACAAGTGCTGGTGATCCTTGAGGTAGTTGGTCTGCTTGGCCTGCAGGCTCAGCTGTTCGTATGTCCAGAACTGACAGATGCCGTACATAATGCTTAGCACCTGGGCGGGATTGTGGCCCTTCCAGAAGGCCAGCACACCCTCCTCGCGGTATATCGTCCGCACCGCCTGTGTGATGGAAATGTATTTCGATGCTTGCCGTGCGCCTGTAGTCTGCGCCTTGCCCAGCGGCTCCACCTGCAGTTGAAATCGTATCTTGAGCACATCCAGCGGCTGGCAGGTGGAACGTGTTATGGCCGCCGACAGGCCACCAGACACAATCTGTTGCAGTTGCTCGCGCGTACTATGCTTGCGTCGCGGACTCGCAGAGGGGCTGGTTGTGGTTGCGGCAGCCGCAGCGCTACCAGTGCCCGTTGTTACCGCCATGTCGTCACGCTGCTGCTGACTGACTGCCTGTTTGTCTGCCGAATTCCACTTGTTTTCTGGCAGCTGTGTGTGTGCGTGTTTGCTCGTGCGGATTTCACTTTTATTGCTGCGACGTCTGACTCCTCAATGGCATTTCTGTAAAAATCACAAAAAGCAACCATCAACAACATTATTAGTTGATAGTTTTTGGCTATTCAAAACTATTCATAGGTGCGGCCCGGGGTGCTGTTTACACACTCATCATCAAGATTGCAAAATTGTCGAGACAAGATGGGAAGAAACTTACTCGAGTCATGCCCAGTGGAGCCGTTCGTATGGCTATTACTGCGCTTATGTTATGCTCGCCTGCGCGACAATTTGTCCCCATGTTTGCGACTAAAATAGATTCCAACTCTGACTCGAGCGCTTCCCTATTCACATTCATTCATTGATTTTGGGCGGCTGACCAGCCAGCCAGGGGGTATCTGGGTTTATCAGCGATTTCACTTTTTCGTCGTCGTTCGTCTGTTTGTTTGTTGTGTTGTTCGCTTGTTGCCTAGCTGGCTGCTTGATGCTGCCCAGATAAAGAGACAAAGGCAAGGCTCTCTTGGAATGCATAATGACTGAGGGAGGCACTTTGAGGGAACACTTTGGGCACTGGTCACTATCTTACCGTTAAGTATCTTCAAAAATGTGTCGCGACAACCGTCCACAGCGTCCGTGCACGGGGAGATTGCAGCAGTAAATGTTTAGGCGGCGGCGACGGCGACGCTTCTTCATTACAAGCAAAGGCCCGTCGATTGCGTCAAAACTTTCTTTTCGCCAGGCATTCGGTTGAGCTGCGAGAGAGCGTGTAATAGTAATGCAGTTATGTCGCACTCCGCTGGCTCACATTTAGCTCGCTTCTCACTCTATAAACGGGTTTAGTTGCCGCTTGTATTTTTGAAAACAACAAAAAGTTTGGCCTCTAGTTACGTCGTCAAGTGCACGGCAACAGCTGATTTGGCGCTGCCAACTGTCCAGGGGAAAAAGCGAACTTAACCCCAAATAGCCCCCATCTATTTAAATAGGTGAACAAGATACTCTTTGTAACTGCATCTTGTAGATCCATCCTTCCTCTTTGATTAACAAATAATTTTCCCACGATATCTAGCACCTGAAATGTGTTACAAATCTTACAAGCTATATTATCATCGTGAGTAAATGGTCGGCAATGAGTTAAGCATTCTCTCTCCATGCACGGAACTCATATTTCTCCATTTTGATATTCGCTGTAATATTACTAGCTAGTTAGGACTCTCAGCACTTAACTTATAATTTGATTAGTTAGATACATGTATTTTCTACAGAAAGGGCTAACTTTGAAGAGTTCTTCTAATTTTATTTTGTATAAAATAAGGTTTACACATAAAAGGTCGACGAAAAATATAAGCAATGGAAAGTAACGGGAATGGGAATGGAATGTTACGTTAATTGACCACTTGTTGCTTTGTAACCGCAAGTGGGTCATTTTTGTACTCTTTTTCCGTTAATTAATGTTAATAATGATATATCTTGATCTTGAAACATATTTCCGGAATCTGTTAATTGCAAAATTTGGTTAAAATAGCTTTAAAGCCGGCGATGTCAAACGTTTCAGCTGTTGTGGAACAACGATATATCGATAGACAGGCGCACCATCACAGCGTTGCCACTGTACGCGCGCTTTGAGTTTTATTTGAAAAATAGCTTAAAAAATATAATACAAAATGTGTAAAAATAAAGCTGCTGCTGCTACTTCCAGCCAATGCCAGCGGAGGGCGCAGCAGCACCTGGTGCACTGGGCGTTGGCTGATAGTCGGGCGGTATGCTAAACCCGAGAACTTCAAAATTACCCACAGGAGCAGCAGCGGGCGCTGGAGAATTGGTCGGATAGGGCGGTAAATTCGCAACAGGAGCAGCAGCGGGCACGGAAGCTGGTGGATTGGTTGGATAGGGGGGTATCTTATGTGGCCCAGGTCCAGGTGTGGGCTTTGGATGGGGCGGCGTGTCCTCAGCCTTTGGATACAGACTGGGCTGCGTGGCTGCTGGAACTCCATTGGCAGCTCCATTGGCACCCGTCTGGCCGAATGTGTAGAACGGATAACGTGGCTTAAACGTGTTGGATTCAAACTGTTCGTCGCTTACATCCTCCTGGAATATGGGAGCACCTAACAAGGGGGAGATAAAAGTGTTAGCAAAGGTGGAAATCATCTCCCTGGAGGCACCCACCTGGATAACTATTGACGCTGCCATTGACGGGCGCTGTCTGCCCTGGACCCTTATCCTCGCCACTGCCCAGCAGCGGCACAGTGCCAATGGTGAGTGGAAAATCCACAATCAAATCCCCGCCGCCATGCAAGCGAAATGTTTTGGCTATGAATCGCAGCGTATAGCTGACACGTATGGGATCCCGCTCGCCCAGCGTCGAGGGTGTCGTGGCTGGCACCACCAGAAACTCATGGAACTGCGCCTTGTTGTGCTTCACCACCTCGCCACAGTGTTTGTCCGCAATGCGTGTTTCGGTGGTCTTCAGTTGCTCCTTGGCCGTGGAATTGGCGCGATATGTGACATTCTTGAAGAGGCGCACCTTGACGTCCTGGCACTGCACATCCGACTGATTGTCGAGCACCAAATGGAAGTGTATCTTCTGGCCGGGCACATACGCGCTGTACGAGGTGCACACATCCATGACCATGGGTTTGTGTGCCCCAAAAATGGAGCCCCACCAAAAGGACTTCTCCTCAATGCGTTTCAAAGGTTGCTGCGGGATAAAACGGAGACATCAGAGAGGATATCCAAGGGATTCTGTGTGTTCTTTTGTACCCACCGCGTTCTCCCTCTTGCTGTTCAAATCATGCGGCAGTATGACCGTGAAACACTGCTTAAAAATATTATTATAACGCACGGAACGATCAATGGTGAGGGTCACCTCATGCTTGATCTGTCCGTGGCTGCCATTGAAGGAGGTTGGCGCATTGGGCGGTATTGTGGCCTGAAAGGGAAACACAAACTTGCCCTTGGGCAGCTCCAGCTGCGAGCCGCCACTCTGCCCGTACACATACTTATCGCTGCTATAGTAGATCTCGGTGCTGGTGTGCGTCTCGATTGATTTTGTTGGCTTGCCATCAGCGCCGGCCTTCTCCACACTCTCCTGCCAGCGCGTCTCCCCGTAGCCATTTATTGTTATAAATATTGCTGTAATTGAATTAAGTTTTGGATGTACTATGGGGGGATACATGAAGCTGAAGATCGCGGAAATGTCGGTAAATGTGTGTGTTCCAGGGCAAATGCATTTGTTTTTCAATTATGCATTTAATTTAATTGCTGCTGACATGCCTTGGCCTCGATCTTGTGCATTAATAACAGCTTGGATAATGCTCGATCTGACTGCAATTTTTCTAGCTAATTCCTAGCCTATAAATCCTCTTGGATGGCCACAAAAAATGCTCACCTCGCTCCATTTTCTTAGGCTTGTCAGCGTTAAGAAAACAAACTCCAAAATAAACATAAATTGACCGAATTTTTGCTACTACAATTACTTTGCATTCATTCTAAGCCTCACCTGGTTTTATGAACAAATCAAAAAGTGCTGCAAGAACACTCCAAGCAGCGTATGTGGTCTGTGTCCAGTAAACCGAATCAAAATTCCTAATAATATAAACAGCAGCTCGTAATTTCAAACTAGTTTTGCCAGCGCTATCAGATATCCGCAGCCCAGTCAGCCGGGCAGCCAGACAGCCGCTTGGGCTCTACACATTAACAAACAAAAATCTTCCGGCGTCTAATAACAAAAGACACAACAATAAAGCAGCAACAACAATAGAGTCAGCAACAATATTAATGACGACGCGGACTATTAATGAAGCTCACAGTTCCCATACGCAACGAAATTCGATGGGCTGGAAATTGAAGCAGCAGCATATAACCATGACGTCATGGACAAAGACTTCCTACGACCAACAGACAGAGGGCTCTATGGGGGGTGGTGTAGAACTTACAGCGAATGGTTTTTGGACGGTCCGTTGTGAGCTCCGCAGTTCCGGATATGACTTGGCCAGCATGATAGACGCCCAAGGGGTTATTATCAAAGGCAAAGGTCACTTTGCTGCTCATTTTACTCAGGCAACGCCTTGGCCTTGGCGACGGTGTCAGGCAGTGCCCAGGATATAACAAAGGAATGTTTGATTAAGGAGTAGCAGCAGCAAGTGAGGGGGAGCACACGAACACACACCACGCGGCTGAACCGAACGCAATCAGCAGAATTTTGTTACTGAAAGCAAAAGCTGGGGATTTGATGTGCGTGCGAAAGCGAGATAACACGATAGACTGCGCAGCACATAAGTTGGGGAAGCACACAAATAAATGTTGATGTATATTTAACTGGTATAGCTACTTTTAAACACAACTAAATAGAAATAACACAATTTTGAGTGTCCACATTTTTGAATAATATTCAAATGTCAGCATGTTTGCGCCTAACCATCAACAGCTGTTTTTCTATCGAAATCGCTCTCTCGCGACACAGCTACAACATAGGGTGACCATTTAGAGTACAAACATGCCCACAAACATAACTTGTTTGTTTTAAACTTAATTTGAAAACATTCCAATAAAGGGGAAACATGAAAACTAGCCGATCTGATGGAGAATTGACTGATAAATCGGTTACAATTTTAGATTTAGCGCTGAGAATCATGACTAGCTGGTAATATAAAATAGAATATCAAAGTCGAGGAAAATATTTTAAGATTCACTGCTTCGCTCGCTTAAAAGGTAGGGTTGACAAATTTTGCTTTGAAAAATATCAAAATAATATAAAATATATCACTGCAAAAATATCGATATATCTGATGTTTTATATATGCTAAAATTCAATTCCGTGTGAATCGGAAATAAAGAGCTACCACAAAGAAAACAGAAACCTTACATATGTTTTTAACATCTTTAATCCTTATTCCACTTTTCTGTGTTTTTAATTTGACTTATTCAACTATTTCCATCTGGCACACCTCACACCTCACAAAAACCACCACTGCTGCATAAATTGCAATTTCCTATTTTTCTAGAAAACTCTGGTGGCTCTTATAGTCTCTGAGCCAGACGGACAGACAGACATGGCCATATCGACTCGGCAATGGATGCTGATCAATACCACTAACAACAGAAAATATATTCTTTATGTGGTCGGAAATGCACTTTTGTGCACAAATACAATATACCCTATATATTTATTTAGATCCTGTGTTTAGTTACCGAACTTGATATATTAAAATATATCGCAAAAACTGATCAATATATTGATATTTTGGGAATTAAAATCCCGATGTAAAAATATTTTTATTTTAAAAAATATCGATATATTGATATTTTGATATATATTTGACAACCCTAACGTATAGTTTATAAGAAATTAAATTATTTAACCATTTATGGCTCCTATAATCGAATTCAATTACACAGCCCCGAGTGTGTGTGTGTAGCTGCATCTGTGGGCAGGCAGGGGCCCGCCCTGGTCGTGTCAAATTGGCGTGAAATCGGTAGTAAACTCACACAGTGGCCAAATCGAAAAGCTCTCTTCCGCGGTTGTATGTTGTAAATCGGCCCAAATCGTTGTAGTTGTAGTTGTAATTCTGCATATAGACTGACTCAGGGGTGCGGCGCGGGTGTCTTGTTGCAGTGCTGCGTTTCTATGTTGCGGCATTTTAATGACGAAATTATTTTTGGATAAGTGTTTAATAAGAGCAGCAGCCATCGCATCGGCAGAATGGAAAGTGAACGGTTACGTATAACGCTGGACAATCCCGACGGGATCTACTTTGCCGGCGACATAATACGCGGCGAGATCTGGATGAATGTGAACAAGCGCACAAAGATACGCGGTAAGTTGCTGTCATAGTTGGTTTCCTGTAAAGATTCACAAGCCGAACTTGCATTTATTGTAGTCGCAAATGAGTCAGGGCCTTGGTTTGTCATTTGGCTGGAATCCATTGTTCGCGCGGGACGACAGTTCGGTTATGGCCCCATTGGCATTAACAAAGAACTTTGCAAAGCACAGCAGCCATATTATAGTGTACGTACCTCTGTGGCCCGCCTGCCCATGATGATATCTTTGCCGCGCACTCTGCCCCCTTTCGCACGCAAATTCGTTCAATTGCCTTTTGCACTTGCGTTTCATTCATCAATAAGCATTCCATTGCGGTTGCACTCCCGGCAGCATTTTGCTCTCGTTTTGCATTAGCATTTGTTTCAGGAAATGGCAAACGCATTTCACTTAGCGCCCCCCCAGTGGAGCGAAAGAGATAGAAGCGCAAGCGTTGTTCTAATTGTCTGTCTGTTTGTGTGCCAAAAATGCCGTAATATTGTAATGGTGAAGGCGCAAAGCCAGGTCTGAGGGCAGTCAGAGCGGCGCGCGCTCTCAGCACAGTCAAGGCTACAAAAAAGTGCATGGTCGTCAACAAAATAAATTGCAACTACATTAGTCAATCAACTATTTCTCTTATGCTACTTTTTAAATGTTGTTTAAGAGGTGTAGCAAAAATGTCATTTGAGCAAAATCAGCATTAAAATCTGCCTTGGAATATGACCCACAGTGCCTACTTTTTCTGCCCACCAGTGTAGAGTTTGGCTCTCTGTTGTCATTTGCCTCTGTGTGTGCAAGTGTGAGCAGCTGATTTGATTGTGTGTGTGTGTGAAAGAGTACTCGCCAAAAGGGAGCGCCATGCCATCTCTTGCAGCTTTCAAGTTTGAGTGCGCTACGCAGCAAAGTGGAGGCATTTGTGTGTCAATAGGAGGGAAGCCATAAATGTTGACTCCCGCATATTAAGCGTAGTTAGTGCTTGTGGCGCTGCCACCGAATAGTCGAAAGTTCAATTATCAGCGACAGTATAACAAAACGCGATTTATTATCAGAGCACATAGTAAAAAAAACGAGTACAAAAAGATGATGTTTATAAAAAAAGGCTGGGGGGAGGAACAATACATTTGTATGAGGGAGAATGTTTTGTATCCTAGAGGGTGTCGCTGGCTAATCAATACAAAAGAAAGAAGTACATTTAGTTGGACATACACATTTAGTTCGTTTCGCTTTCACATTGTACGGCTTCGGCAATTACATTTAATTAGACTCCTGCTCCTTCTCCGTCCTGTCCCACACATAGATAGATATAAATATGTATATTTGGGCTTAATTGAACACATTGTTCTTATCAATTAAATGTGTGCACAATTAAAGAAATTCTACTCGGAAATAACCGCATTAACCACCGCTCTATCCCTGGACCTTATCCTTGAGGAAACGTTCGACGCGTGGCCAAATCTCTTTGGTTTCACGTCCCTTGAAACTGGTGACCAGACCACGTTCCGCATACCAGGCCAAAACCGGACTCATCAGCTCATCGTACAACTGCAAACGTTTGGCCACCACCTCGGGCTTGTCGTCCTCACGCTGGGTCAACCGTTCGCCCGTCACATCATCCTTGCCCGGCACCTTGGGATCATCGAAGCCAATGTTGTAGACTCGACCTGATGGTGCGTGAATCCAACGGTTCTTCACGCGGGAAATTATCACATCGTGTGGAATGTTCAGATTGATGACGGCATCGATTTGCTCACGTGCCGATAGAATATCCGCCTGGGCACTGTTGCGTGGGAAACCATCCAGAATGTAGGACTTGTTGCCCACCTCTCTGATGCGGGCCAGCATGGTCTTGGTGACTATCTCATCGGGCACCAGTTGGCCCGAGTTGATAAAATCTTGCGCCTTCCTGCCCAGATCCGTATTATTGATAATGTTCTGGCGCAATATATCGCCGGAGGAGATGTGCAGGAAGCCAAAGGTTTTCACAATTCGTTCCGAAATGGTACCCTTGCCGGAGCCGGGTGCTCCGATTATCACAGCACGAAAGATTTTCGTATACATATTAGCTTGCTATCTGATCTATTTGTGCTGAAATTAAATGCAAAGAGGGGGAGTTTACAAGATGTGCAAGTGCGTGTTTCTGTTGTGGGGTTAGTAACTGATTAAAGGGAAGGGGGGGCACTCGCTGAACCAAAAATAGGAATCAAACCTAATTCACTTGTGGCCACATTAACGTAGTTTATGGGCCACAGTAAGTTTGCTGATTAGATTATCGAAAGCACTCAACAAAAATAAGTATTCCGATACTCAATAATGAAGGTTATTACATACTATATTTAATAGTTTCTGTATTATTTTATGACTAAACACAGAATAATTATTGATATAGATACGGGGGAGATTGTAATAACAGCTGATATAATTGTACCACAGTTAGTTTTGCAACAAAAATTCGCGATAAATGCAGGTCCGAACACAGCAAATCATTCGGGATGTGCGTGGCCATAAGCCACATGGCAACAAGTGTACCGCACCGCACCCAAAGAGCAACACTAACAACAACAACAACTACAGTATAAACGAAGAGCAAGAATACGAATAAGAGCACTAGCAAGCGTGGCTTCTGCGTTTTTATGTTCTTTGTCTTTCTCATAACACTCGCCAGATGAATGTTGTTGTCGCCATAGTTTGTTTTTGTTGTTGTTCGCGCTTATCGTCCAAAGTCCAAGCGGAAAATTATACAAAAAAGTTCAATGTCGGCGCGTGTTTTCTTCATTTTTGCTGTTTGTTTTTGTTGCGCGTGCACTTTGTCGCATATGTTTTCTGAATTTTTCGCAGCACCTTGCACTTTTAATTGTTTTGTTTTTGTTGTTTGTTATGTAAAGAAACTTGCAGAATTTCATGCATATGTATGCATATTTGTCACACTTACACGGCACTTGGGTTTTATTATTAGTTTTGATTAATACGATTTTCAATTTTCGCCCTCGTCCTAATTGCGATAACTGGTCGCATTAAATATTCTAATAATGTGGAACAATCACAAACGCGCGTTCTACTTCTGCCGGCTGGCGAAAATGATATGAAACTTTATCTTGATGTGTGTTTTAGTCGTCTCCTCTTGTTGTTTAGGTTCTGCTCCCCCAACGCTCGTACGCTACTCGTATGATTTTTTTAAACTGACAGCCGGTCGGTCGTGTGCAGGGTATGCTAAAGAGATGGTAAGGCGGTTAGTCGCTGCTCTCCAAGTTTGCTATGGCTGGACTTTTGATAAGAGCAAGCTTTGTTGCACTGTCTTACCTACTCTTTATTGTGTTATGGCTACAGCCATACAAAAACAACTGCAGTTGAAAGAGAGCCACTCTCACGCTCTCTCTTTGCAGTTTTGCTCTGCTCTCGTGTGCATTTGCATGTGTGTGGGTGGGTGTGAACTACTGGAAGCTTAGTGAATGCCTTTGGACTTGGGTGGTTCTCTTATATCTCTGAATGGAATGTTAAGAAATAAATTAAACAATTTGGAAATCAATTTGTTGGGCTTACACAGCATGCCGGACATGCTAAAAAGAGTTTGCTTCGAAAGCTTCTTTATTGAGTAGAGTCGCTTCTGGTGTCCAATAATTGGTTAAGGATAATAACATATTACAAGTTTTTGAATATCAAAATCAAATATGTATAAGAACTAAATCAAAACTTAACGCTGCATTTTTTCTTTTTTTTATGCTTTTTTTGCCTGCTTTTTTATTCTCTTACGTCCTTGGATGTCGCCTCGATGAGTCCCTGTTTGCGTTCCTTTTGTGCATTTTTGATCATTTCGTCGACCTCCTCAATTGTGGGATCATTTGCATTTTTTTTTGAACCATCGGCATTCTTTTTTGGATCTCCTGGACTAACGCTGCGTCCATTCGATTCTGTCCGCTGGTCATTATTGAACCAGGCGTAACGATTCTGGCTCCTGCCGCGCCCACGGCCACGTCCGCGCGACGTGTAGCGAGACTGGAAATGACGCGGACTGTAGCTGCGTGACCGGCTGCGGGAACGTGAGCGCCGGAAGCGAGACGCTGGCGATGGTGTGCGCCGGGGCACGAATGGTGACGGTGTGCGGCGTGGCACAAAGGGTGACGGCGTTCGCCGGCGATGAACCGAACGTGAGCGAGAGCGTCGGTCGCGATCGAAGCGTCGACCACGACCAAACCGGCCACCATAGCGGCGTGGAGAGCGCGAGCGACTGCGGGAACGTGACATGGAGCGGCGCCTCCTCGAGCGCGATCTGGTTCTGGTATGGCGCGCGGTACTGTGCGAACGGGAACGCGAGTCGCGGCGGCTTCTGCGCCTCGACGAGCTGCGACGCCGCTCGCTGCGTCTCCTGTTCGAGCGACTCCTGCTGCGGCTCCGACTACGTGAGCTGCTGCTGCGTCCCAGATTCTTCTGTGGCTCCGGCATGGCCAGACGCAGCAATCCGAATTTGTCCATCTGCAGGGGACGCTTAATCTGGAAGGAGAATCTGGGCGTTGGCTGCACCTGTTGTGGCTGCTGTTGGTGTTTCTTTTGCTCCTGGAATTTGGCTGCCACCTGCTGCGCCACCTGCACGCTGTTAGATCCAACAGCAGCAGCGGCACTCGAAGTAGAAGTCGAGGCAGCTGCTGCATGCGCATGACGTGATGTGCTGGGTCCCATGTCATCATAGCTGGTCCTCTTACCACCGCCAAATGGTTCCAGTTTGCGTGCCATCGATGGTGGTGGTGGCGGCGGTGAGGCATTGTGGCCACCACCCTTTTGCAAGTACTCCCGCAGCCTGGCCTTCAGTTCGGCATCGTTGCCAGAATTATTCAATAGCCTAAAAGACAAAGAATATTAAAGTAGAGATTGCATTTACGACACACAATCGAACGATTTGTAAAGTACATACTTGTCCTGACTACCAGTTTGCAATTTTAAATGCAGAAAGAAATTTGATCAAATATTTCTACACACAATGGGGGAACACACCACTCACCTGAAGGCCTCCTTAATGTCAAACTTTTTGAGCAGTTCTATTGGATCCAAATCGTCGTTATCCTCATCGCCGGCAATGCTGTTGTTGCCGGATCTTGATTTTGTTTTCTTTTCCTTTTTATCCTTTTTCTTTTTACCCTTCTTTTTGGCCTTTTTGTGCTTGTTGGCCTCGCGCAGCAGTCGGCGCACACTGGACATGGTCTCATCCTCGTCCAGCTTGAATTCGTTGGCCTTTTCGGCATCGATAATGGCCAACTTGTCGTCGCCAGCACCGCCACCAAATTGTGTCGGATGGGCGCTACTGCTGGTGCTGTTGCCACGTGCTCTTCCAGCTAAAATGTAGAATGGGTTAGCACCACAAAAGGGAACCTGCAACGCTGTCTTGTACTTACTTTGATCCTCGCTTTCACTTTCAACACTGCCACCACTCGAGGAGCTGGACTCGTCCGATGTTTGGGCCAAATCGACAACATCGGTAGTATGCTTACCATCTGCAACGCCAGTTCCAACTCCAACTGCAATTCCCTGGGGCAAATTCGAGCAACGTTGCAGTGCATCCAATGAGAGTCGTGCCTCCGCATGCTGCGGCAATAGATTCAGGCAATCATTGTAGGCCTTGACCGCATCGGGTATGCAGTTCTTCTCCTCGTAGCTGCGTCCCAGGGCCACCAGGGTCTCGCACATGTATATACGCGCATTCACATGGTACTTATTCAAGTTTAGGGCCTTCTCGAAGTCTTGCAGACCCTTGAGGAAGCTGCCACGATTCGCGTAGAGGGCACCGCGCGCCACCAAGCCCTCAACATTGCGCGGATCAATGTTCAACGCCTTATTCAGACACTGAAAGGCCTCAACTTGCTGGCCATTCTTAAAGTGCTCAATGCCATCAGCCACGGAGCTGATTTTTTGTGTGATTTAAGCGATCGATGAGGGGAAACGAAACGGTATGCAAATGGTGGGAATGGAATACACAATTTTTGTCGCACAACTAAACCATTTTGGGTATGCTCCACAATACTTACCGAAACGCCCACTGGGAGGCCTGTTTCTGACGCAACTCCGAGGCATATTCCGCCTCCGGGAAACCCAACTTGATGTGGCTCATCATTGAAAAGTTCTCATTGGGCTGCAGGCCATTGACTTGAAACAGCAAATCATAATTGGGATTCTCGAATTCCGGGGCATCACTCAGCATATCCTCATAGTGCACACTCGAAGGATGTTCCTGACTATGAATTTGTCTGCAAAAGAGAACAAAAGGAAGATTTACAAAAGGTTTCCCAGCAGGGGATTGATGTCTACCGATAGTATTTGGGCAAATCCTTGATGTCGCAGAGTCCCAGCTTTAGATCTGGCGATTGGTGATAGATGCCAATCATATTCAGTGCCAGACGTTCCGCATCCGAAGAGATTTGACACACCTCACAGCGTAGTATATCGTTGAGGCCAAATTGACGTGGATTTCCCTGTTTGTCCAGCGGCAGTGGACCCCAATTGGCCTGCATTATGGTGGCCTACAGACAGCACAAGGGATTAATATTTGTTGATGGATACCTGGCGAACTCACCTTTATGGGTATATCTGCCAGATACAAGTGCAGTGGCTCATCCGAGCACAGCGGCTTCACCATCAAACGATTGAAGCGTGGCAAACTCATTACCGACGCGTAGATAATGCTGCCCTGTTTGAGGGCATCCAAACGATATGTCCAGGCTTTGCGTTTGTCCTTGAGCTGTGTAAAGAACTCATACGGTGGCTGCTGCACAAGGCATTCGGCACCTAAAATACAAACACGCAATTTATAAGTCAAAGTTTCAATTAGCAAAAAATCAACTGCCACCCACCTATGGCCACAACAGAATCCTCCATGACATTCGCCACCAGTCCACGATCGTAGAGCTCGACCGCCTTGCGGGTCAGGAACTGGTGCACCTTGAGCCGCTTGGCACGCTCCTGAAAGGTGAAATACTTTTGCCGCTCGAGGTACACACTGAAGTTCATTTGGGTGAGGCCCAGCTGGCGCAACTCCTCGCCGCCACGCTCATCGTCCCAAATCTTTTGTAGCGGCTGGCCATGGTAGCTCATCGCCTTGCCAATATATTCACTATTCATTTTCGTTAGTTGTGGCCCCCGGCCCCACAACAATTTTCACAATGGGCGTCCTCTGCAAAAAACAAAAAAAAGACACGAAAAAAAATGTTAGCCCTTGCGCAAAAAAATTGTGCACCGGCATAAACGCTTTACGCGAGACGCAGCTGCCACAAATAATTGCCAAAACTTAAGCCACACAAGGGTCCTAATGTATGAACTTACTTTAAGCACAATTTAGTTGTATAAAAACGTGTTTTTTTCTTAAAATTAAATTTATTTTATGCAAAAAAAAAGTCAAAGCACAGCATTAGTGTGACCGCGGTTTTATCGATTAAATATACCGAACGACCCTCAAAAATATATCGTATATTTTCGTAGTTAAATATCACCCGTAAATCGTAATTGGTATAGATTATAATTTGTACAATTTCGTTGATAAAAATGACACAAAATTACAAGGAAAGGCAATATTTATGTTATGAAGCTAAATGTATTACAAGATACCATCCGTTGCAATACTGCAAGCGCAAAGTGCTAATATCGGTATCGATAGGAACTGATAGCTCAGGGCTGCACGCAGTGGTACCATAAACTACCAATAGATGGCGTTTTGTGTTTCAAAAAGTTAAATTTTCCTTTCTTATTTTTTTGCAGCCATTAAAATCCAAGTCACTGGCAAAGGAAAATGCAAATGGATGGAAATACTGCGCAAAAACTCCAACAACAATGAGTACACGCGCAGTCTGTTCTACACCAGCAAGGAGATATACGAGCACAGTGAGACGCCGCTGCCGGACTTTGAGCCACGCGGCCTGGAGCTATCCGCCGGCGAGCATACGTTCATCTTCAAGGTGGCACTGGGAAGGCAGTTACCCTCCAGCTTCAAGGGCAGCTACGGCAGCATAAAGTACAAGATGCGTGTGCTGATACAGCGGCCCTGGACGTTCGATGAGCGGCACAACATACACTTTACGGTGGTCAAGAATATGCCGCTGCAGGCAATGCAAAGGAGCGTGCCGAGTCCTTTGGAGAAGCAGATAACCAAGACGATCAGTCTGTTTGGCACACGTCCCATCACGATGGTGGCCCTGCTGCCCGAGGATTTTGCTGTGCGCGGCGAACCGCTGCGCATCTGCGTCACCGTCATGAACAACAGCACGACGAACGTGGAGAAGCTGCGCTTCAGTGTGCTCCAGTATGTGACGTACTACAGCCATGTGCCGCTGCGCGTGCAGAAGGTCGAGTGCATTTCCATTGCCAACAAGGAGACGGGCTCCGTGCAGAAGAAGAGCGAGAGGAGCTTCGCGCACGAGCTGCTCATGCCCGAGGGAGCCCAACCGACAGACGATCATTTGAGCGGCGTCATTACGATTGTCTACGAGCTGCGTGTGGAGGCGGTGCTGCGGGGTTTCTTCAAGAATTTGGTGCTGAATCTGCCCTTCAAAGTATACTCACAGGATGCCTCAAACCGACAGGGATCGATGCGCCCAACGCCCCCACCCCGGCCCGAGAATGGTCCGCCCGGACCCGATGCCAATGGAACGTTTGGCAATCCCTTTGAGCCCGCACCACCCACCGGAGCCCTGCAGGTGTATCCCTCGCTGGACTCGTCGATTGGCTCGCCCTCGCGCTCCTCCCAGTTCAGCGAATGCAGCAGCCTCAACTCCACCACCTCCGATTCGTCGACGGCCACACTGAGTCCCGCCGTGGGCGGTGTGGAGCTGTCGTACACGTCGGGCGGTTCGCAATCCTCGCAATATGGCTCGCAGTTTGGCAGCCCCTCGGCGCGGGTCAGCCTGCGCAGCTCCAATGTGCCCTATATGCCTTATTCGTCCAGTCCGTCGATGGTGCAATCATATCCGCCGCCGCATTTGCCATCCTATCCGCTGCCAGAGTCGCCACAGTACTCGCTGCTGGCACTGACGCCGCCACCACCAATGGCCCCACCCACACCACAGCCCGTGGCAGTGTCGGCTGCAGCGCCTCCGGTCAGTGGCTACAGTCAGCTGCCATCCACGGCATCATCGTCTTCGTTTCTGCAGCCACGACAGCCGCCAGGCGTGCACGAGTTGCGTAAGTTTTGCACACGTTTTTGGTTGATGTTTTGATTCATTTTGGCCTCCTTGCAGCACCATCCTATGAAGAGCTCTTTGGTCAGGCCCATGCCCCCTCGGAGACGGCAGCGTGAGGCCTGCAGCGCCTTTCGCTGCAACAACCCAGTTACGTCCAAGCTTTGCCTAGATATTAGAGCTTCAGGTTTACTTTAATAGTGTTATCGAATATCAATATATCGAATATATATCATAGACAAGAATCGAACAAATAAGGCAATTTGTGCGCACAATTATGTGTAATATATATTGAATTTAAGGCTTCGAATTTACACCAAATTAGTTGGCTAAAGAGTTACTTTTTTTTTGGCATTGATATATCATTTTTTATATCTTAAACTTGATCTATATTGCTGTAAATTTGGGTACGCGCTTTTGTTAGCATTCGTTTTTGGTTAAAAGGCAAATAATTTGTGCAATTATAATGTTCAAAATTATTGATTTAATTCAGTATCTTTATCTACGATTGAATATTTAGCTACAACGTTTTGTACAATTTACGTATCTGTTGATGTAGTTTAAGTCATCCAAAGATATGTTCAAAGGAATGCGTTCAAATAGTGAAAACAAAATAACCAAAACATTGCACAGGTCATAGTATTTACTGCAATTTTCTTGTGCAAATAGAAAATGTTATAAAAATGCACTAGAAAATGTCTCAAATGTGTGCACAAGTCAATGACATTAATGACAATTTCTTAGGCAAATATAAAAATATTTCTCAAACGTTTCATTCAATTTCTTAGAAAGATTTCGAAATATCATTTGCATACATTTATTTGTTCAAATTATTTGCCTTTAATTTGTTTGCTTAAATCGAGAGCTTTGAATGCCAAACGAATCCTTTAGTAATTTATCAAAAATGTAGTGCACAAAAATAGATAGAAAACCACATAAATAGCATACAAATTAGGCAACAAATTACAAACATTAAAATGTCTATGAAGAAAATATGAAAACTAAAAACATTGTCGTCTATGAACAAATTTTAAATTAACAAATGAAGTATTTGGTTAAGCTCTAAAAACTTCCTACAATCAAACGAATTTTAGTATTGAAATATTCGAACACAAAACGTCTGTCCCACTTCTCTCTCGGACAGCCAAAACAAAGAAAGACTTTCACGGGATATTTTATCACTCACTACTCAAAACATCTAGCCCGCCTATTTAACTAATAATTTTTTATATTTTTATACTACATAAATCTATCCAAAGATACTGATTTTCTATAAAAGCAAAAAACAAACCATTTATAAGCTTAAGTTTCGAAATGATTTTTGTATACCAAAACCTACAACAACCATGATATCATTTATTTCTCCCATACGTCCTGATTTACACACATTTTTATAGGATTTAGGTATTTAAGCAGCAAATCGAATCATTGAAGCTTTTGAGTGTGCCTCTAAAGAAGAGAATTATATAACAAATAACAAATTTATTCCATCCACCCCTCAACAGCAAAATCATCTTTCAGTTTGAAGCGCACAAAATGCAAATACAAAATACGAACCAGAACCTTGTTAAGGTGCTTTAAATATTATTCTAAAAAAATCATATTTTTGTATACAAATTTTTGCATTGTGTGTTTAGTTTTGTGGCAAAAACTAATTTCAGTTTAGTTTACTTAAGCGAATAAAAAAAGCAAATAAAATGTTAATATAATTACAAAAACTAGAACTATCATTAAGGGAAGGGAAACTCAAGAAAAATCAATCAGGGAAAGCATGTGAATGCTGCTATATACCCTGTGGTCATTAAGGAGCGAGGGGCACTGCCGCATAACGCGCGTTTACTGAGAATAAATATCTTATCTGATTTTTCTATACCCTGCCATTAAGAAACTGCACCTGGACTGATTTTAAGCTCAATCTTTTTAGGCCATTAATTCTTTAATTAATTCCTCAACTTTTAATAGGTATTCCATAGTCGAGTTAAGCAGTTAAAGAGCTCTAACTTATAGTTCAAGCAGAACCACCTGAAATGTGGCCAACAAAAAAACCCTTCCGTAACCCTCTCAGTGCCAGAAAACCGGAGCCAGCACACCCCTCCAAAAAAAAAACTAGTGCACAAAACGTATATTTTTGTACGTGTTAAATTACAATTTCAAGTGCTTGAGAGGAAAGTGCGTTTCTGGAGCCGCCTCGTTGCTGGTGGCAGTCACTCTGCTGTGTCCCTCGCCTCGTCAACGTTCACGTTGATGTGTCGCCCACGCCCAAAAGCCACCAGCCCCATCCTGGCCAAGTTACCTGTGTCTGGGCCCGGCGAGGACTACTGCGAGGACGAGTTGTAAACGTGTGCGGCTTTTCTAACAAGTAACGGAAGTGTTAAGTCAGCTGTAATTGTTTTCCTTCATATTTTTGCCACTGACTTGTGGTCGGTCGCCCTCTGCTCCGGGCTCCCCCATTCAACTATGTCCACGAGGACGACTATTTAGTTTGCTTGGCTGGCTGGCTGGCTGGCTGGCTGGCTAGCTGGCTGCCTAGGGGGCCTATGGGGGAATCAGAGTAAACCATAAATTATATTCCACATGGCAACGGTATGCGCTGCTAGGTCTTGGGTCTTGGTGGGGAGGCCTGCATGAAAACCATACATAAATAAAATTGTTAAATAATAGCGACATTTAGCGGAAGTGTAATGCTTTCCACCCCCCCTCAGTACATTCTGCAAACTTCAACACGCGCGACAAACGATCGTTCCCCCAGTTTCTGCTTTTTTTTTTTGTCAAATTATAGAGGTGCCACTGGTGGCTAGCTCTGTGTTCTCTCTGCCCATTCCCCTGTGACCTGCACTTAAATGTCTTAATCGCCACCCCACAACTTTCCATTTAACTTTCCAAAGGGAGGTTAACGATTTGTTGGTTTTGGTTGGCAGCAAATTCTGATGCTTTGCTTTTTGGCATTGAAACGTGCCACTAACTGATATTGAGTATGCGCCATGTGCTGCCCCACTGCTGATACATGGATACAGCATTGATAAACATGCACAAACGTGGCTCGAACTAGATTAATCTACAGTTTGACCACATTATGTTTGTAGTGTCAAATGTATTTACTTTACTTATACATCAATATTTGCGTGTGGCATAAGTGGCAAGCGGAGCAGGAAAGTTTAGGGCCCTATCGAATTATTAAACAGGTTGAGGAATTAGGCCACTTAAACACAGATTACATAGTAAAGTTTTAAGAGCTGGAAATGCTGAAAATAATTCCACAGAACATACAGCGATAATGTTATCGATTCAGTGTTGAAATGCAAAAGTAATCGAAGTGTTGCATAAGCTAGTAAGCAACAATTCAGTTTATTATCGATTAATTATCGATGCATTTTTGTCATCGATTGACTATTGGATTCTTAAATTGCCTGGAACAAGCCTTTTTATTAAATAATCACAATTATCACTCATTTTAAATGTTAACTAAAGTTAAAGTTTTTTTTAATTTGGGAAATCTATCATAGAATCGATAACATAACCATTTCGTTGACCGCTTTGTCCAGTCGCACTTCCGTAATCTACCCCTCATGCCATTTAGTTAAGAGATGATTTGGTTTAGTTAACCTTCCGACAGAAACTTCCGTCGCATATGGCACAATGATCCAAGTTTATATTAAAACTTGAAGCACATGTCCGTGTCCCATTGCGAGACTGAACTTCCCCTCAGCATACGTACAGCTGCGTCACTGAATGACTGGGAATTAGTTTATTCTGCTGTCCAACAACCAAAAAAAAAAATGAAGAGACAGCCAAGGAGGATGTTCTTGGAAAAAAAAGGTCCAAGCATATTGCCTAATGCCAAATAACCAAATCAAAACTAATCAGGCAGAAGTTACTGCCACAGCCAGCCAGCCGGGCAGCAGGGCAGGTGGCATTCTGTGGATGGTTCTGCCCACAGTGAAAATGGTTTTAAATTGCTGCCTGATTGTCTTTCAAGTTGGCCAACACTTGTTGGGCATGCTACCCCTGCCATTCCTGCTGCCAATGCCAATCCCAATCCCAAATACGATGCCAACGCAACCTTCTCAACTGTGAGTCGAAAATTTAATCAAGCGTTGAAATTTTTGCACGTACTTCGTATTTTCTATTTCTGCTTCTATCATATTCAATGGCCTCCGAACCACCAATGCCAATTTCTGTCCACAAAACTCTTGGTCACATGTGTTGCTCAGTCCCCCTCAGTTACAGTTCTCAGTGGCAGTCCCAGTCCCAGTCCCAGTCCCCGTCCTCTGTGGCTTCCTCCTGCCGCTGTTCGGACTTCCGTGAATGGGTCCTGCAACGAGCTCTCTGGGGGCAGCAGTTGCCAAAGACTGTGCGACCGCCTTCCTCTCACCCACTTTTCTTTCTTTCTTTATTTTTTTTTTTCTTCTGTTTTTTTTTGTGTGTCGCTTCATTAAGCTTTTTTTGTGGCACGAACCACACAAGCTGTGACGGATTGAAGGTGCGTGGGTGTGGCCACTGAAGCTACCCCTCAAATGTTACAATAATTAAGCAGATTCTTTCATGTTTCTCATATTTGTAGGAGTCCAAATAGCGAGCAGTTATAGGTTCTCGATTTTTTGGGGCATGCGTGTTGCTGCTGCAACATCTTGACTCCTTTTTAATATCAATTTGACACAGTTGTTGGTCTTTCACGTACCGTGTTCATTTTTCTCTTTTGGCTTTTGATTGCAGCAGGACGAGAGACCACTCACACACGCACACACACAGCACACACAATATGTTGCAATTTCTGTTAATTTTGTTATTGAGACACGTTCCACTTTGGCCACGAAACTGCAGAGGCGGCAGCACAGCACACATCTGCTGCAGCTGCTACACCATGTGCAATCGAGGGGGAGTATCTTTCGGGGCCACAAGTTCGGTTTTAGTTGATTGAGATTGATGCTGGGTGGGGGGAAGGTAGAGAGCGCTCTCTCTCTCTCTCTCTCTCAATTTGGCAAAAGAAGCCACAGCAAAAGCTTTTGCGGTACATACATATATGCATATAATTTTCATGGAAAGAAATCCGAAAGCCTGTTGGAGGCTATTGGCCACAACAAAGCAAAGCAAAGCACATGCCTCAGAGGCTTTCGGCACTGCAAAATTTATAGACGTTTAAGCCTTGGCATGCCAGCAAATAAACTCGATTGGGTCTTCTGCGTCTTCTCTCTCCATGCAATTAATAATTGCTTGGAAAAAAAAAATATTGTAAGCTTATTTGAGTGGAAATTTGTTG